GAGAGTAAACAGTATCGTTGCGGCCGCTTTGAGGTGAGCCGTTCCTTGTGACCCGCTTACATTTGGGAAGAGGCCTGTTTGTATTAGCAGCCATTCTGGTTTGGGTTGTGGCTTCTCAAGATGTATTTTTTTTCCCTCCTCCTCTTATTTAAACGTTCTTAGTGTTTGCGAAGAGCCACCTCTACCGTCACCCCCGTGCGTTCGTACCATAGGCAGTACGAATGAGGGGACCCAGTTTCGTCCTGTGCCAGCATCTCTGTGGAGTTTGAAATCTAACATGTGTGTCATCACCAGCATTGGTCCTTAGAGGGCAATGGAATGATAATACCGACCAAGGTTGAGGTCAAAGTACAGAGCAGCTCTTCGGGCACGTGGTGGCTCAGTTGCTGAGCATCCGACTCTTGATTTTGGCTCAGGTCGTGATCCCAGGGCTGGGATCCCATGCTCAGTGTGGAGCCTGCGTAGGGTTCTCCTTCCCTCCCTCCCCACCCCCAGTTCTTATTAAAATTGAGTTGGGCTTCATGCTTTCATGAGAGAGAGGTTGACACTCTTACTATCATTGGCGCTGTTTGCTCTAAGCACTGTACTAGGTACCAAGATACAAAAGAAAATAGTCTTTGCTTTCCAGGAATTAGTCCCTTGAGAAAGACACAGGAAGGGGTCGTTTCAGGGTGATGAGGTGTGTGTGCTGATTGAGGGATGTCCTGGGGGGCTCTCGGGTAGGTCGGTAGGGTGGGGCCTCCCCCAAGGAGGAGGTGATGTTGAGGCTGGTCTTCAAAATGGAGTGGAAGGTAGGGGAGAGGGGAGTTGGAGGAGCAGATTTGTCAGGAGGAAAAGTGGGGTGGGGAGGGGGCGTGGGCGTTGTCCGGGAGGCAGTGTCAAGAAAGGAGCTCCGTTAGGCACATGGTGACCAGGAAACTTTTTTTTTTAAGAAATTTATTGTAATTTAATATAGTGGTTCAGAGAAATAAAGGGCAAATTGTGTGTTTGAAATATTAATTTGCAGCCCAAATATGGAAGAGACTCAAAAAACCCCCAAAAAACACTAGGCATACACAGGAAAACAGACAATTACTCCTCTCAGAGTCCATTACTGCTACCTGTTTTTAGCAGTTTTGCTGAGGTACACCAGGTATACAAAAACAGCAGGTACTTACTGCGTGCAGTTTGATGACTTTGGACAAACACAAGTACCCACGAAACCATCGCCCCCGGCAAATTGATGGATGTCTCCTCATCACCTCCCAAAGTGTGCTCTGGAAAGCTGATCTACTAAGCTTAGGCTTGTTCCTGGAGGGGGGACCCTGAGGAATTCAAGAAAGTGCAGTAAAAAGATTGGCCTTATGAGCAAAGCAAGGCTGCGGTGTAGACAGGAGGGGGGGGGGCGGCACAAACCCATGGTGTTTCTTCAGATTTTCTTTAAAAATGAAAAGAAAATTAAAAGAGGAGGCTCTGGTCATTATCGAGGAGAAGAATTGCTGAACATAACAGTAATATTGTCTCCTTCATTTCTGATCGGTGACATCTAAGTTTACTTTAAAAATCATGATTTGCGCATAAAGAGCTCCTGCCTGTGTGTAGAAAATTTCTATCTTGAAAGCGTTGCTCTGGAAAAACAGAGGTCCTTTTGGGGGTTACATTGGTAGTTTGATAAAGTAATGTAGCTGCAACAGACCTGTGTTTGAAAACCGAGAATTTGTTGTTCTGTTTGTCCGGGGTCTAAAGTTGGAAGTGTGGTTTTGGACTATACCACAGTGTTCTGGAAAACGGAAGCAGGCCTCGGCTGTGCTGCCTGTGGGGGTACCGGTGAGCTCACAGCCAGCACTGCTCTCCCCGGGGCACAAAGTCCATGCTTTCCTGGTGAAATTTACCCCGCTGTGTAAATGTGATTTATTCAGGGGGAGAGGGGTTCCTGATTCTCCTACAACCTTCTCTAGTTCTATATGAAGGTAGTTGAGTTAATCCCACACCCTTGCTTATTTTGAATTCTGCCTTGTCAACAGATGTTTAATGAGGCTGAGGGGGTGCCCGTAAACGAGGGGGCTGGAGGCACGGTGCAAAGAAACATCAGCCTCTTCTTTTTTAGGACTTTTTCCATATGCTTTGGTATTTGGAAAGTTGAGACGCATCTATATGAGTCTATAGCCTTCATGTAGTGTAATATCATTCTAATGGCTACAGTCAAAGGCAAAGGTGGTCACAAAAGCTTTCAGAGAGGAGTTCAACTGAGGAAGTCTCCAGGGGTCCTTAACCAGCTTTTGCGTTTGAGAACTTACTTGCTTTTTCATCAGAATAGTAGTGCATGTTTCTGATGTGAACCAGAGAGAACAAAAATGAAGGAATAATTCATCTAAATCATTCTTGTCAGAGACGACCACTTTCTAACTTCCTTCCTCCTGCACTTCTATCTCTGCATGTACACGTGCATGTCCCAAAGTGGATATCTGTGTACGTGGGATCTCTCAGCTTGCTGCCGTCATTCAGTAGTACACAGCAGATGACGTCTGCCCGTGTTCTGTGTGGACACATTTTAGATCCTTAGCATTCTCTTTTTAAAAGTTTTTTTTTTTTTTAAACATTTATTCATTTTTTGAGAGACAGAAGAAGACAGAGCATGAGCTGGGGATGGGCAGAGAGAGAGGGAGACACAGAATCCGAAGCAGGCGCCAGGCTCAGAGCTGCCAGCACAGAGCCCAATAGATCCTACAGCATTCTGAACGGCATGGGACCGAGAGATGGTGCTCTCGGGGCCATCGAGGCCTGTCGCCTTGTCTACTGATCTGTTTCCTTTCTTAGCATCAGTTCTTGCAGTTGAGTTGCCTGTTGAGAAGTTGTACGTAGTTACATACGTGCACGTGCTGGTATATCAGGGTGCTTATTTACCTACACATCGACTTGTGTGCATTCAGGCTTTGACCAACTCTGTTCCAGCTGTTCCCTTCTCCTGAACGGCTCTTTTGTGCCCCCCCCCCCCCCGGCTCTCTCAGAACTAACTCAGAGAAAGATATCTGTGATTCCGTTTTTACTGGCTCACCGCCCTCCCCTGTGTCGTTGGCCTCTCTGGCAGTGTCCCCTCACGTGCTCCCGGCCGGAGTGCTGCGTCACTAGGGCTCAGTGCTCTTGCTGGAGCACCGGGCACTGGCCGCAGTGTGTGTCGGAATGCTCTGTCGGCCACAAAGCAGGTGAATCCGGGCAGTGGCGTCACGCACATACCTGCCTGATGCACACTGGGACTTGCAAACTGAGTGTCAACACTGCGGGGTGTGGTCCCGCAGCGCCTTTGGCTCAACCCCTCCCCAGGTAGAGGAGCACTTTTAGCTTATTCAGCCGCCCTGCTCGGTGCTGATTCATATGAAGGTTGGCCAGACACTCTGGCTGTGTGGTTACTCGCTTCCCGTTCCCTTTAATGAATCCAGTGCTCTGCCTTGTAGGGCAATACAAAGCTGTAAATCTGGAGACTCATTCTGGTGGAGTAAGAGTGTCCACAGGGGCTTTCCGAGTGCCAGCTATGAGCCTTCGTTACCAGCTGATAGAAAGTTCCAGAATGTAGGAAGAAAGTTGACAAATGTTGGGGCTCATTGCAAAACAACGAGTGTGGTGCTGGCCTTCACGGGGGTGGGTCGCAGAGGGAAAGTTCCCCTCGGCCGAGAGAGGGGGTCCCACCACATCCATAGTGACGGCTCCTGGTGTCTGTTTTGGTGACATGTTGTCACGGGAACAGGCGTGGCTCCACGAGAGGCATGTGATAATGTCCTAGAACGAAGCGTCTGCCTGACGGTGTGAAGGGTCTCCAATCCCGCTGTGCTGGGTGGGTGGGTGGGTGTGCACAGAGAAAGAGAAACACCACCTGTGTCAGAACTTAGCCCCTCAGAGTTCAGGAAGAGTCTGTTTCCTTAGTTAACATAGCGTCTGGAAGAACGAGAGAGTGGCTGTTTCCTAATGACCGTTAAGGTGTAGTAAGCCACCGGCTGCCTGCTCCCGTCCTCCGTGGGCTCCGTTTCCCTCATCATATCCAGCAGAGCCGCTTCCGTCATTTCTGCGCTGTGGCGGTGGAGGCAGACTTAGCAGTGGACATTGTGCGACATACACGTTGTCAGACGTATGGACCACACAGTCTTTACTCTGCATGAGTTCCCAATCTTATTTGTGTTTGCCTATATTCATATCCAGTATGTATGGATGTTAGAGCGAATTATTATGCAATTTAAGGGGTCAGCATACAAAGAAATTAGGTAAAATTATACACGAAAACAAGATACAGGACCTTAAGGTGGCGGGGGGTGGGGGGTGATAAATTCAAATACGGACACATTGGCCAAAATTTTTCTTCCCTGCTATTTTCTCCACACCCCCCTCCCCCCAGCCCCGATCCTGAAATGCTGGGAGACCCCGAAGCCAGGGACTTAGGGGAGGACCTTCCCAGCTAGGATTAGCGTGGAGCCTGGGTGGTGTCCTCAATGGAGAGGTGTTGAGGGTGCTGAGCACTTAGTCCAGGAATCAGGTAGACACTAAGATACGGGGTTTTCCCCGCCTTTCAGGATGCTTACCCACCGACAGCACTTCTTGGTCTTTGTGACTTCTCTGTGAGGCATGTGGCACTGGTGACGCCCTCACATGGAAAGCAGGGGACCGAGAATCGGGATGGGGTAACTTCGTGGGGCCCTCACAGTGCCGGGAGTACGTGATCCCCTGGCCCACCCGGCCCGATTGCTCAGCGGGATGGCGTGACCCTTCCAAGTAGGTCCTGGCCACACGTCAGGTTCTGTGACCGTGAGCCTGCAGTGCCAGCCCCGCTGAGCCTCGTTTTCTCACCCTCCAGCTGGTCAGGGTGACGCTACTGACTCGTCAGAGTCACAGTGAGGATTAAATTAGCTCGGTTACGGGTGACGAAGTCCTGTGTGTCCGATCAGCACTTTGCTGCTGCTCATTTATTATTCTCACTATAAATAAAATAATAATAAAATATTACTTTTGCTTTCAACTTGAAAGTGTAGGTTGTAGTGCTGGCTTTGGCAGGGCACGTACTGTAAAGTTGGAAAACTACAGAGAAGCTTACCATGGTCCCGCACAAGGATGCCACGCGGATCTGTGAGGCATTCCGTTTAGGAGAAACAGAGCAGTCTAAGTCTTAGGGCGCGGGAACTCCTAGAAACGCTCATTGTTGGTCACAGGGGAGCAAGACCCGAACCAGGGAGGTTCCTGCCTGGATGAGCAGAGGCAAGGATCCCATTTATGCCCCTGTTGGTGGGGTCCTCTCACTCGAAGCCTCCCCCCACCCCTCATTCCTTCTTGTTCGTGTGCTCACTCGGGGCCATCACCTGAGTCTCGTCCTCTGCTCTCCGCAGGGTGAGCCATGAGCGCTCTGAAAACCTGGGCTAGAACTGACCCCCAGCAGATGCAGGGTGGGGGCTGTGGGAAGAAGGATGTAATTTTCCCCACATGTAAGTAATTATCACCTTGGACCTCAGGTCATGGAATCTGGTGCTGAGCCGTGGGCCACCGAGTGTGGGCCGTAGGAATTTGAAAAAGGCGCCTGGGTGCCTCAGTCAGTTGAGGAACCAACTCTTGATTTTGGCTCAAGTCATGATCCCGGGGTGTTGGGATGGAGCCCTGCTTCGGGCTCTGTGCTTAAGATATTATCTGTCTCTCTGTGTCTCTGCCACCCCGTCCCCTCTCTGCTTGTGCTCTCTGTCTCTTAAAACACACACACACACACACACACACACACACACACACACACCCCAGCTTCACTGGGCCCAGTGCATGATTTTATCACCTTAATCGCGCTGGAGCCCAAAGGAAGGCCTGGCACTCATTTGTCATTTTGCCTTGGAAACTGGCTCACTCTAAGTCGGTGATAGGTCATTTTGTTACATTGCTTGAAAATGTTGACCCCAAAGACATCACTGCTTCAGATTCTATATATAGTATATACCAGTTCACTTTAATGAGCTATTATGTATTTGGGGGTGAGAAATGAAAGGAGGGGGTACTTGCTATAAATTTGCTATGACACTGCGTAGCCTCTCCTATTAAACCTCCTTATCTGAGGCTCCGTTTGGCTGATGACTCCCGTTTTCAGCTGCGAGGTGGGTATAACTGCAAGATTTGAGCATTTCTTGCTGTCTCTTTCATGCTTCTAGATTTTTATAGGGTAAGGGGCGCCTGGGTGGCTCAGTCAGTTAAGCGTCTGACTTCGGCTCAGGTCATGATCTCGCGGTTCGTGGGTTCAAGCCCGTGTCGGGCTCTGTGCTGACAGCTCAGAGCCTGGAGCCTGCTTCATGTTCTGTATCTCCTTCTCTCTGAACCTCCCCTACTCACACTGTCTCTCTCTCTCTCTCTCAGAAATAAATAAAACATTTAAAAAAATTTAGATTTGTATAGGGTGAGAAGTAAAAGTCTTCTGCATAAAGCCGGGAGCCCTTGCTGAATGTGCTCCTGGTACATCCCCTTGACCCCTCAGTTTCCTGGCTGGAATCTTCTTCCTTCTCCACTCCTCCCCCACCGCCCCCCCCCCCCCCCCCCCCCCCCAGGCTGTAGCCTGGTCCAAGCGGACAGGCGTGAGGCTAGCTCTGGTTCTGATTTCCTTGCCAAGCTCAGCGTCAGGCTCTCTGTCCCGACAGGAGTGTTGATCTTGCCCACCTGTCTCCTGCTGCCAAGGTGCAGATGTGGCCACCGGGCAGATGTGGGTGGCACTGACCCCGCCTCTCAAACCACATAAAGGGCAAACTGGATTTTTAGCTGGTGGCTGTTGCTTATAGGAAGTGGTAACCTGAGAATTGCAGTTGTTGGTGTTTTAATGTACTCCGAAAAGTGTAGCTACCAGGTGGACTTGAAGGTTGAGATCTGGGCTTTTCTGAACAGGTGTTGGTAATGAACAGATACCTCAATCTTTCTTTTTCTTTAATCAAAACTGAAAGATGATCGTTATTCATCTAGTCCGGTCAGTGTGTCCTTGACTAGGAAATGGAAATAATTAAGATGAAGAATAAGGACAAGGAGAGCTGTGTTTGAAGCCCAAAACAATCATTTAGAAGTGGGTGATTCAACAGACATTTGTTACCTATTGCATTTGGTGCTACGGGTTTTAAAGATGAGTAAAAGAAATCTCTAAGACCAGGGAACTGCTAGCCTAATTATGGAGACAGAAGTACCACCCAGCCGACTGTATTCCAGACCAGACCTTGTCCGAAGAAGTGTTCTTATGTCTTCCATCAGTTAGAAGAGCAAGTTACAAGTCAAACTTGCAGTAGGCAAAGTTCATCACTCTACGACTGAGCTGTTGCAGTTGATTTCTTCCGTGGGTGCGCACCATCTTGGGGCTCATGTTCTGTCTTTGTGCAGACCCCCATGTGGGTAGTCACTCCACCCCGCTCCCTCCTGCCCCACCAGCCGGGTATCCACCGGTCTTTATCGGCCGCTGTCCCAGACTTGAGCAGACGTAGAGAGCCGGCAGGCGTCATTTTCATGTCCTGCTTTGGCAACAGTAGAATGCTGCTGCCTTCCTCCCTCCTCCCCGATGGACTTTTTTTTCTGGAACAATTTGAGGTTCACAGCAAAACGAAGTGGAAGGTACAGAGAAGCTTACAACACATGCAGAGCCTCCCCGACCAGCGACATCCCCCCGAAAATGGGACCTCTGTTACCATTGATGAGCTCACATTGGCCCATCCTTATTAACCAGAGTCCATAGAGTACATTAGAGTGAACTCTGGGTGTACATTCTTTGGGTTTGGACAAATGTACCCCTAGAAAAGCATTATCCTTTCTTGCTTTTGAGGTCAAGGATTAGTAAATACAGGCTTTAGGTTTGAGAAGGGGTATATGGTTTTAGGGAGAAAGCGTTCTGTCTAACTTCTCTGCATTTCTACCCAGCAAACTCCATGCCCAGATTTTCAAACTTGGGAGAGTGGGTGCATATGGTGTTGGTCACTGCCATCCCTGTGGCTCTTAAGGCTCTTGATTGCTTGGACTAGGTCTGGGGTCAAGGTCGAGAGGCAGACAGGCTGCCCCACTTTTGCCAGAGTGCAGTTGTTACAATTTGGCTTCTTTTTTGGGTTGGTAATCTGGTGACCTTTGTGACAGGTGATAGGTGAAGGGCAGGCCTGATTAAAATCAGTCTTTTAAGCGTCTTGGTCGTCATTTATTTTTAGTGGTGCGTGAGCTCATGGTGCCTGGTCCTGAAGGAGCTATAAGCTTGCTCTGAAATGTCAAAACTCAAAGCCTTCTCAGCTTTCCCCTTGGTTCTGTTTCCTATTCCCACTCTCCCCACAGCAAAGGCCAGGCACACTGTTTTGAAATACTAGTGAAACTTGCAGTGGAGAACAATAAATGTATGTTAACCCCAAGGAAGGCAGGCACTCCTGAGAGAGTTTGGGGGGCTTTAATAAAGCATTTCAAGGAAGCAGAGTATCGAATTAATGCTTTTTGTGCTAAAAACATTAAGGTATTTAAATGTGTTATTCTAATCCCTGTTTCAGCCTGGGAACAGAAGGATCTAATATCTCTTATTTAAATCCCAGCCTTCCTGGTCTGGGCCCGTCTTTTCAGCCTAGCACAGGAAGAAACAGACTACAGCCAGTGGACTTCAGTACATATAAACCTGGATGTAATTCACAGCGTACGGCCTATTAAATTTTTACATCAAATGTGGTGGCCCGGGTCTTAATATATTCGGCATCGTTTAGTGGCGATGTTAGGTTTTCAGAAGCTAGACTCCTGTCTGAGCGCCACTTTAACTGCTCTGTTTCCTGGACGTGCAATAAAATTGTCATGGACACAAGTACAGATGCATAAATTCTGAGCCCCCAAGCAGGGGATACTTATTTCAAAGTGAGCCCTTTCTGGTCGCAGAGTAAACTGATCTCGGCAGACAGGGTGTCCTCCCTTTCTCGAGGGCCACTCGGAAAGCCTCAGCTGCCCAGGCGGCATTTATGGCCAGAACGCAAGGTCAGGTTATAAGGTTTCTGTTCGGTGAATGAAGAATATCATGTTCGCTCACGACTCACAACTGTGCTACGGTTGATGTCTGCCTCCGAGGCTGGGGAGAAGAGAATGCTCACAGGACAGCGAAGGCCGTCACCAGGCAGGGAGTAATTGAGATCAGTGATAAACATATTGCCCTGTCCCCAGATCAGTCATTTGGGTTTTTTTCCCCCCTTGAAAATTCGTGTTGGTTGAGAGTTTTTAGATTTTGGAATCGAGATTTGGGGCCATATGAGTGTGACTTTAGGTGTTTAGTCATAACATCCTTCATGTTTAAGCTCTGGGTAATGCATCCAGAGAAAAAATGCAGAATCCTCTGATTAAGGCTCTGGCAAGATTGCTTTTCAGAATTTGATACTGAGGAGAATCAAGACCGCATTTTGCACAGCATGCTTGCACGCGTGCGTGTGCATGCGTGTGGGCACACGTGTGTGTAACACTGAGACTATCAGCAACCCCTTAAAGCTATAAAATTAAATACTGGAGGAGTTAAGTGAACTTTTTAAACAACAAGGAAACCATTAGTTGTTACTGTTAATATATTGTTATAGTGGCAAATTTATATAAATAGTATTTTAAAAAGCTCTCACATTCTCTCTCGAGTCCAGCCTGCCTGGCTGCCCCTCCTGAGAGAAGGGCCAGGAGAGGGAGTGAAGGAGAGCTCATCTCCTGTTTCTGGAAGTTGAAGTCCATTCTGGAGTGTGGAAACATTTAACCTTAGTATTTTTGAAAAACTTAATACTTAAACCATGCTGAAAATAATTTTTGTAATTTTGGGATGCTTTGGAAATGTTAAGCTTTCTCCAATTTGAATTTAATATATGCCCAAATATATGTGTTAAATTCCTAAAGTGACTAGGGCATTGGGTGGCTCAGTCGATTGAGCCTCTGGCTCTTGATTTTGGCCCAGGTCATGATCTCAAGGCTCGTGAGTTTGAGCCCTGCATCGGCCTCTGCTCTGTTGGTACAAAGCCTGCTTGGGATTCTCTCTCCCTCCTCTCTCTGCCCATCCCCCTCCCCTCTCTCATTCTCTCTCTCTCTCAAAATAAATACATAAACTTCAAAACAAATTTAAATCCCTAAAATGACTGTAGAATTGCACCACCAAGATACATGGCT